TTCAAGGTTGACTTCGATTAGAGTGGTATTTCTCGAATTCAGTGAGTTAGATATCAAACATATTATTTTTATGAAACCTTATTCAATGCAATTTCTTCGGGTTGTGAAAGAATTTCATTTGGTTATCCAATAGAGCTGCTATAATGGATTATATGTCGAATAAAAAAATACTACATAGCAAACAACCGAGATGGCAAGGGTTTGTGGAAGTATGGATAATTCTTAAGTCATTCCTATTAGAAAATATTGCATTGTTCATTGCGATTTTCATGTTGAGATTATTTAATCTTGGCAGTCAAGGTTAGGCACGTTTAGTTGACACTCATGCAGACTAGAAACTACGTAGATCGAAGTAGACCAAATATAAATTATTGTCAAAGTCTAAAGTATTGATATGGTGGTAAATATAATGAAACTCCATTGGATAAAAAAAACATTTTAGTGCATCACAATCGGCCTGAACTGTAGTGGTTTAAATCCCTAAAATTGATTTCTCTTTCCAGCGTCTTTTGGTTGTCTCTTGTCTTTTTCATGGTGGAGCAAATCAACCGACTCACTGTCTACTAGGATCACTGTCGTTGTAATCGTTTTTTTTTCATATTTCTTTTTGAAGTTGGTGGAGGAGTATCTTCTTCCCTTAGTGCTCCTGTTATACCGTTCAGATTATGTGGAACGTGCAATGGCCACTAGCACAAACAGTCAGCATCCACTAAGCGAGTTGTGCTCCCGGCGTTTTCTCCGCCTCGTCATGGCCCATGTTCGTCTAGACACATTCCTGGCCCTGTTCACACCTTGTGTTATCCACGTTCTTCTTAGTTCGTCCACCCACTGCCCACGTGCTGGTTCATGCAAACCGCGTGTCGAAAATTTTGTCCGAGACAAAGAGGAAACGCGCGGTGAAAAACAAACGTTCCAATCGGTAATCGGGTCAACCAAGCCGGATCTGGAAACCGATTTACCCGAGGTACGACCGCTCCGATCCAGTTTTGTCGACGAAATTGGTCTGGATTTGCGCAGTGTTGACACGGAAGACGAACTGTTGGATCTATTCATGGATGCCAAAAAGTGTATCACGGAGGCTCAGTGTCCATCGATACGAAGCAATACAGCGTCTGTTCGAAGCCACGATTCTGTTACTGTCCAGTTCTCTTTAGAGTTAGAAGCAGAGAATAATATATCAACGTAAGTGTTTATTCTGTAAATGCAATTGGGCAATCTGATGATGAAATCATACATTTTCAAGACCTGGATCACAAGTTAGAAGCTCAGAGAAGCGTAGCTCTGGATTATTTATTATGGGTAATGATCCTTGAGTTAATATAAATATAAATATATATTCTTTATATGTTGAGATGGTTGCTGCCGTCGGGAAACCATTTACTTTTCACTGTTAACTGGAATAAATTTCATAGAAGTCGCCATTTTTATCAGTTGATGCTGGTTGAAAAGAGGGATTTACGACCAAAAGCTGGTAAGGCAGCATCCATAGGACTGTTACCAGCACCTATCATATCGGTAGTGGCTGATGGAGTACCAAAACCTGTGCGCTACCGATAATGGTCAAGCTTCTGCCCCTTGTAACGTTTTTCGCTCCACTGCTGGGTTCGATTACCCTTCTTTTGAACTCAATTTCCAGGCACTTATGCGACGAGTGATAGTGACTCGACAAAAGGTAATTGCTCTCGTACTCAGAACGGAAGCACTTTTGGCATCGAAATGCCATTTAACTGAAGTCAACTGATGATCAAAACACAGGTAAATTATCACGTGTGTTAGCTGTGGCGGTAGCTTTGCTGCCTTCTGGTTTCAAAACCACACCTAACCTTAGGTGGTTCGCCACTCCTAGTCCCGGGTCCTAGGTAACCGGTTTCCATCACTGAACAACAGGTCCTCGTGACTATGGGTTGAGCCCCATCTACTGTTCATCACGCAAGTGTGTTTAACAAGAAACCAGTCCCTATCACGAGGAATTGGTGCAAAAGACTCCGCTGATTGTGCTATATTGAGCATGTCTAATTGTCATCTACTATCCGGCAGCCCAAGTTTTCAGTTACCGCTGGAAGCTGGATGGAAATGAAGGTAGGGGAAATGATTTGCAGACCTAGTACGATCTCTCGTACCTCAAGTTGGGAAATCGAAGAAAGTCAAACAAAGTAGACGTAGACATCGGTCTCCCTTCGTTCCTGTCCACTCGTTCATTTTTGGCCTAATTAGAGGGGCGCAAACATGCCGCACGGAATAAGGTAGATAGGTGTGGAGACACTTTATCTATGGAAGTACTGATCTTAGAAATCATCGTCGTCCTTTTACGTGAGTAGTGCTTCATTATTATTGTTTTAGTCTGTTACACCGTCGTCGATGTGTGGTTGCGGTTTCCTTTTCCGAAAACACGTCCACTTTTGAGACATATCCTGTTGTATAAGGTCCCACAATGTTTGTTCTTGACCTTTCTAGTATTATGATAGCATGAAATACGTTTTACCCGTTCAAAGTCAGCAGCAAGCATGCTATTTATCGTGGTTTTCTCACTCGGTCTATTTGTCATTCCTACTTATCCTCAATTCAGAGGTCGTTCCACACAGCCCACGCAGATCCACTCGCTAAACGGAGAACACAATTCGACAACCGACGATCTAACTGATTCAAAACCTGCTGTCACTAGTCATCCCCAGCCGTCGAATGACACGGACTCGAATCAAGACGCGCCAACATCTCACAACACAATTCCCCCTGTTGCTGCATGCACTGACAGTCTGATCTGGATAGCCAAACGCGTTGGGCCATTGATTACTGCAAAAACACTGATTCGTTATCTACTGGCCGGTTTGACGGTTTGCTATGATGTGAGTTCTAGGTCTGTTAGTCTAATCGGATTCTCCCCTTTACGCCTAAATTCAAATCTAACTTTATGTTGTAGGTAGGCTACAAAGTTGTTGCTTATTGTATCTCATCGGATCTGTACACACTAGGTTCGATTGGTAGTGCAACGAGATAGTAAATTTTTGCACTCACTTACGGGTGCTGAACAGTTGAGTGTTTTGAGTGCTTTATCGAAGTGTGGCTTGAATGAATCAATGTTTGGAGCACAAACAACTTTAGGCGGAAGAGAGTTCTGGATATTGCATACTGTGAGGCTGAGACGCCTGCAGTTAATCCAACTCTTCTGAAGACCAAGTTTATGAGGATGTCCCCTGCGGTGCCCATTTCTGGATAGTAGAATATGACACGGGTTGTTCGATTGATGTAGTATTTGATATACCAATAAAGATAGGTGATTGCGATTGATGCTATCGTTGAGACCTTTTCGTTAAGTACTAAATTATGTTTGGATGTTAAACGAAATATGTGTACGACTTGATTGTGAGCAGCTGACAATTTCCTGTGCGTGGAAAAATTTGCATGATCTCTGTGAACTGTAGTTTCGAGGCTAAGTTACTGTCAAGCCTGGTACTCTTTACGAGGCATTCCTTCAGTTTAGTTGCCCGAGGATTGCCTACCCAGAGTAATTCCATGTATCATTTTATGTCGGATATTTCATTTCAATCGGCATAAGGCTTCTTCATTTTCATACTTTATTCTCGAATCTACTCATTCATATTGTCGTGGATTTTCAACTTTACTCACTGGAAATTTGCGTTTATAGGGTAACACCCAACTGACAGTGTTAACCTCTTCAAATTCGGGCGGCCCTGGTATAAGGAGCTACTTGCCTATACCAATCCAGACAACCAATCGTCCTCTGGCTGGAGACAGATCTGCCGCTGCATGTCTGCGATGTTTGGAACAACTAGTCTGTGTCTACGGAGTATCGCTTGTGCAACATGTCTACATGCCGTTCGTGGATAAGGCAGTTAGCCAAGTTATGACATCCGTCGTTTGTCCTCCGGACGATTCGGATCCCTGCGGGTCGTCCTCCATGAATGGAATGAACATCACCAACTCGTGGAACTCGCGCACCTTAGCTCGCGTTGTCGCCGGTTTGACATTACTACAACAGTTTATTGCTTATCTACCCGACTCCAAACTTTCTGATCAACTTCAGGTAACCGCTAGCCTATTCTTTGTTTATCACGGTTGCCATTGTATGTGTGAAGTGCGGATACGGCCACCCACGTGTTTTGTCTAAATTTTTACTTCTGCGCAACTATCGCTTGCATGAAGACGAGTCGGCCTAATGCACACTTCCGGCATCAGTAACACACCCACGGCTGAACAGAATATTATCCATTTATGATTCCATATCCCTCAACTATAGAAGGATTTAGGAGCTCTTGAGTTTCATGTCACGTTCGATTGCGCTACTCCGTCTTTAATTTACGGCCAGTACTACAGCATCAGTCTACACAAGCGTTGATTGGAAGCGACGACTTGAAACTTATTTTTCCCACCGCCGGAGAACATGGCGAAACCGTTGAAGATTGTGCTGTATTACGTCACACTAAAATACGATTACACTTGAAGATTGTCAACCGAAGGATAAATTATTCTTGTCTCCCAGGTACTCTCTCCTCTCACTCGGAAAGCAGGCGAGTCTAACCACATAGTATTCACTTCTTGCCGCCGTCAAAAAGAATGTCGTTGGAAACGAGTGTTCTTTTTAGAGTAATTTTATGGTCTTTGTCAAAAAGGAATTCGATACAAATTTATCGGGTGTTCATTGATCAT